AAAAAAAAAAAAATCACCCGTTATCTCTCTCGAGGGGCTGCAACTTCTCTTGAACTCGCTGGCAGACCATATTCTTGCCAGCCTGCGAAATGAGTAAAAGTAGTAAACAAGTGGAACCATTTGCTTCTTTTGCTTTGGATTTCGAGGCCATAGTTACTACTGCAGTTAAAAAAAGAGGGATACATGGAAATACCTAGAACTACAGTATAAAAAGCTGGAGGAGGGCAATGATTTTTCAGAGGATGAGACAAAAGGATCAAAACTTTTAAGTGCAAATTGAGGTTCAATTGTATGGCCAGTTCCCAGTTAACCTTCACGGTTGAGGTTTAAGGGGTTTACGTATGGGAAAACCCGATTACTCTATCTCTGATCACCGTCTTTACATTCGTTTAACCAAACAAAGTATAACTAACATAACTACATAAGGATACAGTTTACAAAATCATAAATCACAAAACCATTTTGGCGTTGTATATTTGACTAAACGAACCAGAAGAGAATTTCCTGCGTCAAAATTCAAAGCATCCACTCGGACAAATGAGCAAACTTCGAAAATATCAGTTATGCACATGGACAGAGCCTCCTTGTATGACTGTGTGAGCCATCACAGGAAAGGATAGATTCTGTTGTAGTGTACAAGCAAGCACCTGGGTTCTGAATATAAGAAAACATCTTTTAGGACAAACAGAACATAGGATCATCCGTAGTTACAAAACTGCTCTATTCAATGCACAGAATAAGGAAATAGCATGCTGCTGCAGGAAATGCTTATTCCAAGATCTTTAAGCTATGACAAATGTGAAATCAGGATATGTGCAGAACTCTGTGTGTACGTGTGTGTGTGTGTGTGTGTGTGTGTGTCTCCAGATAACTCCATAGCAATTAGAGGTGAAAAAGCAGAGAATAAAATTTGGTTTATATAGGGCTCAACCTAGACAATTTTCTATAAATCATTTAGATTCCTCAGCAAATAAAGAACAAATATACACATTCTAACGTAAGGTAGGTGACATAATGATTTAAATGGCAATGCAGCTTATTTGAGTTGTACTTACGCTTAAATATGTTTTTTTTATATGTCACTCAAATAAAGCGATCATAATCTCACCAAGGAAAACAGATTGCTGGTTGGCAGGACCCATATTAGAATTAAACAACTAAATGCGAAAATATTTGGAGTTGTACTCCACACAGATTCAACTATAAAAAAGAGCATCTGGTGTTCTACATAAAATCGAAAACTGTACCAGATGTCTTGGGGCATCGTCGACAACTTCAGCTGGTTGGTCAGCTCCAATACTAGACAAACAGGCACCTTTGCATTTCATATATTTTTGGATACTATTTATGACAAGAAGAAAAAGAGAATAAGAATTTAATAGTATCAATGTTCGCAAGCGTGCACAAGAGCAGTATATATGCCAAGCTACGTAAGTTTTTTGTAACTTGTTGAACTTTTTGGCCCCATTGAATAAATAATGTAAAGACAAAAAAAAA